GGCATGCATGCCTACAAGAGCCGTTAGGTGGCTCAGACAAGGAAAACAAACCAACTGCTGCAGGAGAGAAATCCTAACAAAGGCAGATTAAACCAGAGAGAAAGATAAGCAAGCAAAACAAAAATGAGCTAAACTTCAAACTAATATTTAACACCTTTATAGAGAGACCTAGCATTGTGAAGTATTTTTATTATTATTATTACGTCTCTTGATAGAGAATTTCTGTGATGTACTTTTGCTCTTCTCTGGTCGACCAAAGAACTGGAGTGATGCTGGCCTCACGTCGAGACACAAATGTCTGCCTCCGAAGTATGTGCGAGTGTGTGAAGTGTGTTTTTTGCCTCTGTGTGCCATGAACATCAGATGGCAGACTAAGCAAACGCAGTGGCACCTGCAGAAATTGTGTAGTGGGCAGGTCATATGGGGCCAGTGAAAATCTTGGGGTGGCACACTACAAAGACTATATAGCACAGAGGAATTTGACGCTATTCAGTTAATAAAAAGGTAAAGATATTATATTGTAAAATAAACTGCATCTTTTTTTAATTAATTGGTTGAATACCAGATTTTGATATTCACATAAGATCTGTCAAGGAATCATTAATTATTTATTCCAATTTGGATGCATCAATAGCAATAAATCAAGTGTGTGGGTTGCTTAAACATAAATATTAATTATTAGCTGATAAAAAAAGAGTTTCTTTTATGTCCTATTTCATACTATTTGCAAGTATCTTTCATTCTATGAATCATAGCTTTGAACTCAGTTTATTTAAAACTCAAAATTCTAGGTCAAAATTTACAAGTGGCTTTAATTCTAGGTTTATCTCTATTCTGAAATAATGAATCATGTATGCAAAATGTGTGACCTAAAGTTCTGATGCAATTGCAAAACAACATACATTGGATTTCTTACTCACTTTCTTTATTGCTTTTATAATTTCAATGATGATAACCAACATGGCATTCCATTTCAGTAGTTTTAGCTCAAAATCATACACAAAAATAATTTTTCTTCCGAATGCTCCCTTCACAGTTCGACTCAGATGTGTTACTTTTTAAATGTGTGTCAGTTTTTTAAGTTCTTGTGCTGCAAAGAGTTAGTGACTGGGGCCTGTGGGGCCAATAGGGTGGTCATTAATTTTAGGATGGGGGTCATGGTCCCCCTGGCCACCCCCTGGGAGTGCCACTGAGCAAACAACTGCTGAAGTGACATAGAAAACTGAAGTAACAGACAAAAATAGGATGAAAGGCAGAAAAAGGTTCAGGTTCAGCTTTGTTGTTTCCGTGCATGCACATGACATATTGTTGCTGGAGACTGGGTCTTCCCCATTTCCAGACTTTATGCTAAGCTAAGCTAACTGTCTGTAGCTTCACGTTTCCCATACAGAGTGGTATCAGTCTCTCATCTAGCTCTTCTGTAGTTCCCAAGTTGTCAAATTATTCTTTCAGACATCACTGATCTGCTGATGAGTCCGTCATGACCTTTTCATGTTGAGCAGCCCAAATCACAGAACTTTATTTTTAGTTTTCTGGGAGATACAAGATTTTTGTGAAACTTGTTTAATGTAATCAATCAATCAAATTTTATTTGTATAGCGCCAAATCACAACAAAAGTCATTTCAGGACACTTTACAAAGTAAGGTCTAGACCTTACTGTTATCACTATTATTACAGAGGGAAAACCCAACAAATCCCCTTTGAGCAAGCACTTGGTGACAGTGGGGAGGAAAAACTCCCTTTAACGGAAGAAACCTCCGACAGACCCCGGCTCTTGGTGAACAAGATATTGAGAATATTTACTGAAATGGTGAAGCCATGAAAAGCACTTAGAAGAAGGTGCTACAGAGTGTAAATAGAAGAGTGTTAGAGTGGAATTAGATGATCTCTTTAAACATAATCTACGTACAGGGGAAAAGGAGGAAGAACTGAACATTTTGTGTGTGTGTAGTTCCAATACACTAACCCACTGTTTATGTCTCTGTGTGTGAAGTTTTAAGCAAATGTGTGTTTAGGAAAGAGGCTGAGGCAATTTTCGCTAAGCGGTAATTAAAGCCATTCATGTGACACCTCTCCAGCATCTGCTGTTACCCTTTTAAATTGTGTTTCAGTTTGCGATATGTCATTTTTATAGCCAACATTTGTCAGTAAATCACAAAGTCTTTGATGCACTGGATTGTTCTCGTCATCATCTAATGCTTTCTCTCTCTGTGCAATTTGTGCTGGGTTGCAATTCCCACAAATCACTAGGGGTTTGGACAGGAAGCCGGCTGCACAGATGCAGCTGGAGTATTCCCCTTTCTCTCCCTTCACTTTCTCTGGTTGACTTTTCTTTTTTCATCATTTATTTCTTGTTTTCTCTTCTCCCAGCAGCATGATTGCCCATTTCATCATCATTTTCCTTCCTCGCCTGCCTGCTTAAAAAACAGTAAACTGATGAATTCCTGCAGTTAGAACAAGTAAATGTGGAAATAAATATCTAGCATTTACAAGCAGAGTGGCGAATTACTAGCTGACCTGCTCGCAGCACCAGCTCTACATGAGCGTCTTGAGGGTTTAAAAGCAAAGGACAGATGAAATTCTACATGTTAACAAAAGAGAAGTGATGCATTTCTTACAGAAAGCTGTGCCACTTTATTTTGATAGTCTTTCCACACAATAAATTAACAGAACATCAGCAGGCTATCAAAAATATCAGCCAGCTGTCTGCCAGCAAAATAGTCTCCCTCTTCTCTAAATTAAGAACAGCTGCTTAAAATATCAAATCTATCAAAAATCTCCTGGTAGACACACAAGTACAAAGTTTACTGAGCTTTTCCAAAATGTAGAAAAGCTAAAAATATCAGTGAGTGGGGAGACATAATAGGGAGTAGCAAAATGTCCCTCAATGCTTGATAGTGTTGACCTCGGAATCCTACGTTGCAGTACAAGTTGAGGTCAAGAGGAAATAAACGCATTAAGGTACAGATCTACTGGCCTTCCCTGATGTCTGCTTTCCTGCACACAAGCACAGATGCTTTGAGTTGCTACAACGCTGTTCCTGCAACTGCTTCTATAGGCTGGATGAGACTCAGAACAGATAGGGAACATGCCAATCATGATGATAATCACCTTGGCTGTAGTGTCTATCTTTGCTTAAGGGTCTTATAATTGTCTTACAGTGGTGTTACACAATTAGAGACTTTCTCCCCACTGTGAAAGATGCATAAGCTCACTGCGTGTTTACTGACTCTCAAAAAGCAGTGAAAGACACAGAGACAGAAGTTTGAAACCTCCACTCGATCAACTACATCAGTGGAAGATTTTGTAACCAGCTCAAAATGCAGAGCCGTGTTCTGTTTTAGTTTGAAGAGAAGCCATAAAATGTCAGCTCGAGAGCCTGTTCGACAAAACAACACAATAAGGCCAGTTTGGAGCTTTATTTTACCTGAGAATATGTTGTTCCCCCGTTTCTGCAGAGAGCATACTGCCAGGACTAGTTTTCATCCTACACTGACTGTGCACACGCTCACCCATCATGAACACTTATAGAAATAGATTTTATGTAAGATTTTTTTAAATGTACTTGTGGGGTGTTATTGGACAGTCTAATCTTTCATTCACTGGAAAACTGAGGCAGTTTTTGAACAGACTGATGATGTGTCCACAACAGTTGGATGTAAAGGCTGCTACAGAGTCAAAACAACAAGCAATAATTTTGCAAGAAATGCAGAAGGCATCAAAAGCATAAAGTGTGTGAAAGTCTTTGGCTTTTTATCCTTTACCACAGCTCTGTGGTGTAGCAGTCAGTGGTTAAATACTGTGTATGGTGGTCTCAGACTGTCATTGGTTGTCCTCAGGTGGAAAAGAAAACAGATCAATAAAGCATTTTGGAGAAGCTGAAGGTGAAAGGGAGCTACAGAGCAAATAACAGCTGGACAATAGTTTTCTAAAGTTAAGGCCAGCAGTCTGGACAGTGAGTGAATGGCACTAATTGCTGTGCCTCCCAGTGTATCGATCCACTGGGTTTCAGTGGTAACATAGACGGAAAACAGGAGGGAGAGCTCAGTCATCTGTCCATTTTGTGTCAGTGGTGACAGGTTGAATGCGTTTCTCGGTGAACTGAAGTAGGGATGGAATGAATGAATGAATTACCTGGTGAATGGAGAAGAGAAGGAGCAGCTGAGTGAGTGAAAGCCTGGCTGAGATTGGTGAATCACTGCACACAGTGATTTAAATGGACACTGATGTGAAACAAAAAAAGATCTTCAGTCTAATTATCAGGCTAATGATGAATAAGTGAGTTGATGACTGAATACAATTAAATGTCTATGGATTGGTTTATTGATTTCATGCTTTGCTAAAAGACAGCATTGATTGTTCAGCATCTTGAGCATCATGTTCACTGGACCACCCTGTTGTCTAAATGGACTAAAAGACATTCGGGTTTGAAAACAACCTTTCTTACACACTGTTACTTTTGACTGCTCTCATCAGTTAAAGGCTTTGCTGTAGGAGTGCTTAAATAATATGTAGGTAAACTGCTTGGTTACAACATGTTCCTTCCACCTTGGTGTGATCAGAAGTTTGAACAGAACAAATGGTGAAACGTTCTTGTCTCTCCACTGACTCCCTTTGCTGCTGTTTATTTTACCGGTCTGTGAGGGGCCAACACTGAATGATGATGACAGGCGATATGTGCCGAAGAGGGAGACGTTAAAAAAACATGAATTCTGATCTGACAGTGCCGGCGTGGTCAGAGATCGGATATGAATTAGATCTTAGACCACATATGCAAATGATCAGACCTGATTTGCTTTGTTCACAAATCTGTGGAAAAAAATCAGACCTGACAGAAAAAAAAAACAGATTATAGTCACTTCAGTATGTAATGTCAACGTAGCTTAGAGATCTTCAATAGATAACACCTTGAATAATGTGTCTCAGCTGTACCAGCTTGCTGTGTTTCAGGTTGTGTGTCCATGCTGATGTGCCTGTGTGTTTGCTCTGTCTCTTTCAGGACGAGTGGGGTTCTAGTGACTCATCTAGTCGGAGCAAAGCTCACGGCTCTGACGACAAGGTTCACAGCCTGGAGACACTGCCACCAGGTAGTCAACTACATTACCCATCATGCATCACAACCGCGCTGCACCTAGTAACTAGATGGTAACATTAAAGGAGTGTGCCACAGGTTAGGCTCTATGCATTCCTCCTTTAACTTTATAGTATTTAACTCTTTACTTATTTCATGCTTTCTTCTTGGTCAAAAACCTGTTGCCTGCATTACCCACAATGCAACTCGACCACCAGCAGAGAGGAACTGAATAGTAATGATAATCAAAACCCCATGTCTAAGATGTAAAAACAAGCCATCAAATGAAGGCTGTGTCATATTCATAGCCAGGATATTGGACTATTGTCTCCCTCTGGATCTGAAGAGGATTCGGCTCTTCTTTGTTTGTGTGTGTGTGTCTGTACTGAAAACGTCTCAGGTGTAGAGACACTGTATTCAGGAGGCAGTTGTGTTCCCACAGCCAAAACTGTTTCCTTTTTGAAATGTGGTGACACAGTGGTATATTTTTATTACCAGTGGAACATGAACAGCCTTATCACATTTAAGTAACCACAAAGAAACAGACAATTCAGTGCATCCAGCAGTGTGATACAGACTTCAAATGTTGGAGCCATAGTTTTATCCAAACTGACTGAGGGATCCATTTTAATCTTCCTGCAAACCAGCTCTGTGTCTTCACCCAGACTTTGAGAGACATTGTTTTAAAGTGGAGCAGAGGAGTCACTGCAGAAAGAGCATCTGATTTCTCATTCAGCTCAAATCGTCAGCCTCACTCCAAGCAGCCGCCGCCCCCACCTCCTCCTTCTCAAGCCCGTGACCTGTGAACGCTGAACACACACTCTCTTATCTGATCCAGCAGCAGACACGGGATCCATTTTGAGTGTTGAAGAAGAGGGGTCTTTCAATGTCGGGGTGACTTACTGTAACATTCAATGACCGTAGCGTATCCCAGCATCACTCACACAGATGCAAGGAGAGGACAATGAAGAAGAAGGAAAATGGTGGAAAAAGGAGAAAAGACAGATGATTAAGTCACGAACGAGTGAGAGCTCAGCTTCTTCAGAAATGTCTTTTTATAATGTAAAATAGTCCCACAAGCAAACACGGAGCTCTGATTTCTTCTTATAGTCTTGAAGCATGAAGGTTCCTTTTAATTAAAATACAGTTTCATAAATCTTCATTATAAAACATTTTAATGCACCTTATTACAGTGCATGTGGGGGCCTGTTTTTGAAAGAGTGCTTTATTTTCAGGGCTCATTGAAAGCAGTTTTTTCTTATTCAGGGGAAGTTAATCGAGCTCTAACACTGCATATCAAAGTCACACAGCTAGTTTCAATTGAACCATGAATAATTATATATCAGGTTCACCTCTTGACCAGGCGCTAAATAGCTAAATACTAACGGAAAACACTTAATTCAAGGTTTGCATACTAGCTTTTTCCAGAGCAATCAACTGCATCTCATGGCCTTTATCAGCGAATGAAAATAGGAATATGGAAGTAAATTCCTGTCAAAACATTTGTGGGAGCACAAACCACATTTTGAGTGCTACTCAATTTGCAACTCGGCAAATGAATGTGTGCAGGCACAGATTTGTAAGCGCAGAATCAGATTTGTCTGCGTAATCTCAGCCATGCCTGCACTCGTTTTTGAGTCTGCGCTCTCAGGTTCCATTGGGATTTGTGTGAAAGTTTGTCGGTGTGAATCGTCTCTTACAAATCCCTGCCTCTGCTCTCTCAAATTTTGATTTGCGATCTGTTTTGTGCACTTTCAAAAATTTTGGCACACTGACTTGTAAACAAAACCCAGTGGAGAAATCTGAAAGCGCAGACTCAGAAACCAGTGCACACATGGCCGGGATTACGCCCTCACGTCTGATTCTGCACTTACAAATCTGTACCTGTGAGCTTTACATAACTGAGTTTCAAGCTGAATAGCACATGAAAATTGGATAGTACACACAGTATAGATACCGGCTTTCATCAAACTCGATTTGACAGTTCTAGGTGAAAGGTTATCCAATCAGAAGCTTTGTCCCACCCCCAAGCCCCCCACCCGGCTCCTAAACTTGAGACTTTAATGAAAAAAATTTATTACGATCCGGCTCATCCCGGATCTTACGGAGGCGTGCAGGCTTTACACAGGGGCTTAGAACAGACGACTGGAAAGAAAATAAACATTGCTCATGTCAAACAATTTTTAGCAAAGCAGGACGCATACACTTTACACAAGCCTGTAAGGATTTATTTCCCGAGAAATAGAGTGTTCGTCTCTAGGCCCCTCAAACAATTTCAAGCCGATCTCTGCGACATGCAGGCTGTCTCCTCCTTTAATAACGGAAACAGATTTCTGCTGACCGTGATCGATGTTTGCATATGAAGAAAGCATATGTTAGACCTATTAAAAATAAGGGCGCTAAAGAAGTGACAGAGGCTTTTGCTTTGATCCTAACAGAGAGCGGTGTTCCTAAACTGATTCAAACTGATCTAGGAACAGAATTTTATAATAAGTTGTTTAAGGCTTTGATGAAAAAAAAGCTTCTGATTGGAAAACCTTTCACCTAGAACTGTCAAATCGAGTTTGATGAAAGCCGGTATCTATACTGTGTGTGATAGTGCACCCTCAAATGTTTTGGCAGGGATTCACTTCCATAGCAGGATTCTCTAACTCTTGTCTCTGTTCACAAATGGTCAGTTCTATATTTGGGTAATATAATAGCTACCCAACTAAATGCTGTATCTCTGTGACATCTGTGCAAACCGCCCTCGCTGTTGAAGAGTTTCAAATGTGATGGAAAAAAAACAAGCAAATAGATCTTGTGTTTAGGACTGACATTTATTTTAATGATTAATCAATAAGTGGTCTGTAAAATGTCAGAAAACAGTGAAAGATGACAGATACTATTTCCAAGGTGACATTTTCAAATGTCCTATTTTGTTCCACAAACAAATAGCGTCAGTTCATAACGATATAAAATTGAGAAACGTAGCTCATTTACCAAGCCTGAAGCAGAGAACAGAGGATTTACAGACGCACCAATAATCAAAATACTTGGCGATTAATTTTCTGTCAGTTAATAGTTTCGGCTCCACTTGAATCTAGATTATTTTGATTAGTTTTAATCTCAGTTTTGCTGACCTCCAGGAGTTAACCTTCTCACCTTGTGGCAGTCATGTCACTGTCGGGTGTGGTTACAGCTCCCTCAGTGACGCTGGGTGTGAAACTTTCCCACTTGCTATTCAGTTACCGTTTAAAGGTTTTATTCGGATCATTTTCCAGGAGTGAGCTGAACAAGGCGTGTGTGTTTGTGTGTAAACTGAATGTCAGTGTCCTCTGAGCTGGTAGGCGGAGGGTTCACGGTTCAGTGCAGATGGAAGGAACCATGCTGAACAAACAAAAACAACCTATCAGAACCTGTGGGTGGAAACAGCTCAGTGACGAGAGCGTGAAAACTGTAACCGCAACCAATGGACCACACCGTTCACTAGTACAGACTCAGCAAGCCACTGAACTCCAGGTGATTGTCACTGCCCAGATTACCTAAGCTCTCTGTCTATTGTCTCCAAGTGAAGACAGCATCTTTCTCACTAGAAACACATGTCAATATAGTCATAACTTCAATTTTGCCAAAAATGCAATTCATATCTTTTATTGTAGTCTTTTTAAGTCTTCACTGCATATAAGTCTGGATAAACATGTATGTAAACTGCAACTTCACTGGTTTGTGGAGGCACACAACCCCAAAGCAGTAAATCTAGTTTATATAGCCAAACATCACCTATTTGGATTCACAGGCTTTACAGTTTGTATAATATACGACACCTTCTGTTCTTAGACCCTCAAATCAGATGTGGAAAAACCTCCCAAAAAATAAAACCTCTATTGGGGAAAACATGGAAGAAAAGTCAGGAAGAGGAGCACTCCCTTTTTCAGGATGGACTGACCAAAATAAAAAGCAAAATGGTAGAACTTCAGATTGGCAGTGTTATAGACTTTAAACATGCAGAATATGATCTGGGAGGATGTTGGGCAACTGAAGATGCTGCAACACCTGAATCACCTGACCACCTCTTCATTATGAAGACCTGGAACTGTACAGACACACATGCACCATTCAGACATATTTGAGAAAGAAACATGTGACCTGAGAGTACTGGAAAACTGACAATAAGTATGAGTAATCCCATTAAGAAATTTGACAGTTAATCTGGTTCAGCGTACATAGAAAAGGACTGAGCTAAAGATGCACCAAGTGTGAAGATGAATCATGATTTCACTACATTAATTACCTCCTGCCACTAAACACAGATATCAGCAAGGACATCACACACTCCAACACATGCAGCGGTGTCTCAGAGGCGCTGGTGTAGTCGCAGGCAGCTCATCGCAGGCTTCGGCTAATTTGCATTTTGAACACGTTCACATGCTTTCACAGCAGACACACACACCCTTGCCGGCTCTTTCCTCCTCATCAGGCTCCATTTCTTTCCGTGTCTGTCATACACACACGTCTATACTGAGAGAGAGTGTAATCTAACACTGCCATATGCTTAACACAGATTATTAGCATAGCAGCTGCACCTGCCTAATTAGTTGCATTATTATTCGTGTGGGTCTGTATCTCAGTAGTCGGTGATAAACTGTGAAATTAAACACGACAACTTTCTCTGTTTAGTGCACAGTGATCTCAGTAATCTGGTCAGACAGATGCAATGCACTCTGAGTGTGTGTCTTTCAAAACTTTTATTTTAGGCTCCATTAAATTAGTAAATGCTAAAATGTGTGATTATTTTTCTTTCTGATTCACTGCAGTGCATAATAAATGTTCTGTTGTGTTCTCTGGCTTTGCTGAAGTAGTCTGTACTTGTCTCCCTAATTCTCCTCTGCAAAGTTTCAGCATACATTTCAGGTCAGCTTTCCTCGGTGCCTCGTCAGGCAGCAGCTTGAAGCTTCCTGTCAGTAGTGACGGATTCCTGAATCAGCCATGCTGCTGCCTACATTTCGAATTCCCACTGATTGATAATCCCGTTCATTCCTGAGATGCATTATCAGCCTTTGTGAAGGTGTAAACATCATCTTTGATAGTGGCTTTTATTTTTGGATATGTTGTTTATTTAACATGTATTTCACCTGTGTGTCACCCTGAGACTGTCTCATACCAAACCTGGAGTTACAGTTTGTTCTCTTGTAGTTTAGCTTTTTCTGAAAGGAAATGGCTTTTTTCTCACTCTTTGCTCTTTTTCCACATCGTGAATTAATACTTATTTAACAAAAGAGGCTGGAGAGATTCAGCCGACACCCTGGCTGCTTTTCCCAAAATACTATGTTCTGCTCACGGGGGCTGGATTTTATTTTAGGTTTTGAACGTTTTAGATCCTTTCCTCCGTCTTTGCAACCCTTCATCTGGGTTTAACCACAAAGCCACACCAAAATAGTATATCCTTCCAACCCCTATGTATGTTTTTCCTTCTGCCTTTATTTATTTGCACACAATAAAAATACAACTCAAATATTACCTAATATTCTCAGCTGTACATAAAATCAAGAAGCTAAAAGCTTATAAAACCATTTAACAGTTAGTGACTGTGCTTAATGTGTTTGTGTGTGTGTTCCCAGGTAAAGTGCGTTGGCAGGACTTTGACCAGGATCTGTACGTTGGAGCCACGGTTGTCCGACCAGGCCAGGACCCGTACGCCAGGAACAAGTTCAACCAGGTGGAGAGCGACAAACTACGTATGGACAGAGCCGTGCCCGATACAAGACATGACCAGTATGTAGTTCCACTGTCAACACGCCTGATATGGTTGCACACTACAGTTCTGTCTCTCTTGACCTTTTTTAGTGTCACGGTTGTGATGACAGGAGTTGAGTGTGTACACGCTGTCCTTCTCTGTCTGTCTGTTTCACTAATTACCAGTAGACTGGATAACTTCTCCTGGAAAACTCCCTCTATACTGTGTGTCAGATGAAATCAGGAAGCAGCAGCCACTGTAAAATGGCTGATTGAGCCAGTGTGCTGTTTGTCCATTCTGGGCTACTGTAAAAAAACAAAACAAAAAAAAAACATGGTGGTTCAATGCTGCACCCTTGTGTAATCTCTGGACCGAGTGAGTTTGGCCTCTGTGGTAGAGAAGCTGGTTCACTGTCACCTGGCTGCAAGTCAGAGAATGTGGTTTTACCTGTTGAGCCAACCAGGATTCACTAAAATACACTGAACTTGTTTTTCAGCAGAAAGATTTCTTTCCTACCCTGAGTGAGAGGAACACGTCCTCTCTGTAATGGGTTCTGTTCTCTGGCTCTGCCTCAACCCGCTCTGCAGGAAGACAAGAGGAAAACTGGAGTCATTTAAGATGCATTTCTTTGTTTTTTCCAAATGTTCCATAATAATTGGATACATCACTTATATCCATATTGGCAGAGGTTAGATATATTTTGGACGGGAAAGCACTACACATTTTGTATTCTTCATTGATTTTACCATACTTGGAGTATGGCGTTGAAAACTGGGGAAATACATACAAAAGCTCACTTCAACCATTGTATATATTACAAGAAAAGAGCGATAAGAATTGTGCATAAGATGGGGTATAGGGATCACACCAATGGAGCTTTTATACAGTCTAAATTGTTAAAATGTTTTGATTTAGTGGGATATAAGACTGCTGTGTTTATGTATAAAGCCAGGAACAATTTATTACCTGGTGGAATTCAAAAACTATTTAATGAAAGGGAAGGGGGATACAATTTAAGGGGTCAGTTAAATTATAAAATTCATGCTATACGTACAACCAAAAAAAGATTTTGTATTTCCATAAGTGGGGTAAAACTATGGAATAAATTTAAGAATGTAATTATGTACGAATGTTAACACTCTGTTATAATTTTTTAGTATAATACTTGTGTGGTGTAGAAGAGAATCATTTACTGCTTGCAAACCAATGATGGTAAGATGATGTCAGGGGGTAGGACCGGATAAGTCTGACTTCTTCCTACTCCATTCAAGCATGTACTAGGTATAAGCAAATTGATATTGGATTATGTGTACAGTCATGTGTGTTCTCATATCAACTGTTTTTACATGCTTGAAAGAATAAATCAAATCAAATCAAATCAAATCACTTGTTATCACGACACATTTTCCTGTTGTTGATAATTAACTGTTTGGCTGTTTAATTGTCTTT